TCCCCACTCCCCAACCCCAACAGAGTTACCAGCTGGAGGCAGCTGTGTCAGTTGCCTGTTTAGTCTATGGCTGAATCGCTGAATCTTTTCCAAATCAATTCAGAGCTTTTAACTGGTCTCCTGATTCGATTTGGGTTTGGAGATTTGGTCCCCGAATTGGGCCAAATCTCCTCCACATCGATTGGCTACCGAAGCTTCACACAACCCTACCACCCAGCCTCCCCTGCCAACACCAGGAGAGGAAGGGGCCTCTCCCCCTGCAATCCAGCTCCCATGGGGGGAGGGGAGCTTCCAATTTTGCGTTTGCCCAGTGCCCCATTACACTTTAATCTGCCTCTGGCTGAGGCCGAGGGAGCTGGGCCCGAATCAGTGGGCCAGGGCTGGAAGCCTACAGCCAGAGAAAAGGGGAGCTAAAACCAAGAGGCCTGAGGCCTCTATAAAAGAACCAGCCTGTAAACTGAGTAACACTGGTGAGGCATGGGTGTGACTGTAGGGGTGGAAGGAGGCCATAAATATAGCCCTTAAGGCAAGCAGGGCATGAGAAATGAAGGCAGAGAGAGAAAGTGAGCATCCTAAGCTCACCAACCTCTGAGGGCAGCCTCCCCTCTTTCTTTTTTAACATCAAGGCATGGCAGGTGAAGAGGTAGGGTGAGACCCTGAGAGGCCTTAGCAGGAGCCAGACAGGGTTGAATCAGTTATAAGGGGGCATAGCAGCTGCCCTCAGGTGCCTTCCTGTCACACTGATGTCTAAAAGTCTTCATCTAGAAATACACAGAACACCCAAGAGCACACTATACATCTGCTATGCATGCCATTACAGAAAAAGCAAATGCCAAGGAGAATTCATGTTTTGCAACACAAGTATCTTTTTAGATCACTTTATTCTGAAAGATTTCCCAACACCCATGAAGATTAAAAAAAGATGATGTTTTCAAAAGTAAAATACTAATGTTCACAATTATTTAAATTTTCTGATGAGAAGCAGGCGGTAAATGAGTTCAAAATATTCAAGATCAAGTGCCTCAGTTTAGACCCATAAATAGTTTTATGCCTTTATAATGAGGTGGAAGAAGCTAAAACAATAATGCATAAAACAGATTTTACACTCTCCACCTTCCTAAACTTCTGCTTAAGTATTTGCTGAAGCATATGCCAGAGTTCTGCATAAAAAAGCATTACACGAAGTTAAACCTCAGAAAAAATACATGTAAGAGTCTGATAAACAGATGTTAATAATTCCCACTCAGCTTCAGAAAAAGTATTGTTATAGTTTCTAATATTTAATAGACAAAGAAACAGGCACTGCAAAAAGATATAACGTAATGAAAGGGTTTTTTTATGATATCATTTATTGTAAAAGGTTACCTGAAGAAGACAATTCTATGCCTGAAAACTTGTCTAAAAATCTCTCCCAATTATAGTGGTCCAACAAAAGATATCACAAGACAACCTTTGCCTCTTCTACATTTCCAACCATCATGGTTACAACATTCCAACCCTGCTAAATATGTTGGAGACAGTTTGACATATTTACCTTTTAAACAAAAGCAACTGGTAATAAATCTGCTAGTGTCCTTCATCCAGACTTCCTCGCTTTATTGCTGTTATACATGTTCAAGTAATGTTATACTTCTACATTTAAGCACCCGCTTATAGATGTTTCTCTCTGATGTGTTTTTAGAGATTGTCCATAAAGGATAAATGGGATGATTGCTAAGAGAATTGGCTACTATTAAACTTCCATATAAAGCTTCAAAAATGGCTATTGAGCATGTCATTAACTGTGGGACCCTACTCTTAGATCTTTCTGGGACTGTCTAAATGACTGATAACGCTCTGCCTTCTGCATGTGTACCAAAAGATAGCACCATAACTAAAATCCATGTCTCCTCTGGAGAGAGGTAGGAAAAGTGAGAAGATGAGGTGAAGCCATATACTAAAGAATAAAGCACATAAATTATATTTCAACGTTAGTACAGCCCTGTAATCCACCTAAATTTTAATGCCAAATTACCTTATCTTTACCAATACTTTAACCCATGTTAGTCCACTTTTTGCAGACAATGCGAGTTAACAATTTCTGGTAGTAGCAGCACTGGTCGTATATGTATAGTTTTTGCTAAGTCAATATAATAATAAAATATTTTTGCTAAAAGCATGTAATAGGATTACAAATTCCCCATCTTAAAATTAAAATAGTACATACTGCATGATACAAAAAATAGATAAAATTAAGTTATATATAATAGTAGAATAAAAGTAAAAACAAGGGAATTCTATTTTATTTTTGCCATTATTTGTACAAGTAACACAGAAACACCTAAGAAGTATAGGACAGCCTGTAAGTTGTTAGAGCCATATTGCTTTTTGCTTAGTAGACCAGTATTTAAATTTTTTCACTAATTCTTATTTTCCTATTCATTCTTCAAATAACAAAGACAATCATAAATAGTGATTTACCTATCTCATTCCTCCCACAAGAGCATATCCCGTTCATATATGGGATCTGACACCAGCTGTTCATGAGGAATGCAGGCAGATCTCAGAAGGAATCACAGTTTAGTAATAGCTTCAGCTGTTTGTAGTTTTATACTTCATATACGTAGTTTTCTAGCCCAAAAGAGTGCTTTAATCTTTAAAAATGGGAGGTTTCAGAAAATCTCACTGCCTGCATATCTGTCTGCGCACTGACATCTTTGGGAACCTATACATGTGCTCTGGGGTCTGGGTGAAGGGCGTTTAATTAGAGCGGCTCTCTGGAGCCGCTCTAATTAAAACACCCGCAGCATCTTGTGTATTCACCATCCTGCATTTCAAAATTGCAGCAGGGTGCTTTAACTAAAGCTCATTCAATGAGCTTTTAAGTGCCCCCACAACCATTTTGAAACATGGGACGCTCACTGAATATGAGACGCTGCAGCATGCTGTCTGCTCTGATGCATTTGAATCAGAACATGTCAGAGCATATGTAAAAGTGCCCTTTAATTTTAAATTTAAGTTCTGTTTTAAATATAGGGGAAATATTCGATCAGTGACAGTCAGCACATTTTCTCGGCCATTTATGTGGAGTGGAATACTAATGTTATTTAACCATGCAACCAAGAACTTACTTGGTAAAGGAACAGTTTGTAAAACACACTTCTTAGGGTATCTGATAGGAGCAAAATTTCTAATTTTTACCCAATAATTTAGAATCCTTAATTGAGCTAAAATGCTTACATGAAGCAGAACCATTTCAGAGCATATGAGCTCCTCTCTCTCCCCATGATAGAAAAAATCCCTAATTTTTATTTGGATTTTATTTGTACCAAATTCTATTTTTGAATAAAGCATGGGGTCCACATCCCCTAGTTCTGCTCCATTCAATAAAATGGACACTGCATTAGACCTACAGACCTTTAGTTCTGTCAGTACTACCTTTCTACCCATCATGTTGTACAGGATAAAATTCCAATCAAGGCTTATTTTACTTCAATATGCTTATTCCAGCTCAAATTTGTATTAAGATAGATTCCAAAGTATTTAAATGAAGAAACCAACTCTAATTTCTTTTTTCTGTAAAAACCACATTCATTTCCTCCTTTTGTTCCCCAAATCCAGTACTGTACTTCGGCTTTAGCCATGTTGATTTCCAAGCTATTTGGGACACAAAACTGCTGAAAAGTATCTAATAACCTTTGGAGGCCTATATGGAATTATAACATTAATAGCACATCATCTGCATAAATCAAGGTAGGGTCAGAATCATTTAATATCATAGCTCCATGGAACTGATTCCATGTTAGCAAGTTTTGGATCATTCAAGAATACATTAAAAAGTAGTGGAGCAAGCAAACATCTTTGTCTTACTCCTGAATTGCTGCCTCAGAGAATCTTTTGCACTCACAGTGAATCCCATAGGGCAGTTTTTACCAGGCTGCTTTCCTGCATACAGCATCATTTCGGCTTTGCTAGGGAGGTACGGCATGCACAAATTCCTGGCCTTTTCTTTGAAACAGAAAAGAACAACCCAAATGAAATTGCTCCAAGTCATAGCTTGCTGTGCCTCTCTCCTCTTTTGCTTTCTCCCACCACTATTGCTGTTCTTTACAATGTTACCAAGTTTCTCTACAGGTCTAAGTGCAAACAGTAACGGCAGGATTGCAGGAATAATGGCCATATCCCATCCTGAGCCACACTGATATGCTGATGAGCTCAGAAAAATCACTGTTCATGTGCTTCACACCTCCTTTGTGACTTTCCTGGACCTTACCCCTTCTCTCATTTTAATATTTGGCCCACTTGTGAAGTTCACTACCTCAGGATAATGCCTACTGAAATAACTATATTACAAATGTTATTAGAATTGAACACAACTAATCGATTAATTCCTTGAAGATTTTTTACAGAATTTAAAAGCTAAAGTCTGATTTATAAGGGAAGTTCAGCAATAACCTGACTGAGAGATAAATTAATTGTTATGTATAATTGGAAGAAAATGTAGAAGAATACTATGTATTAAAGAGCTCTTCATTCTAGCAGAGGAAGGCATAACAAACATAATAGCTCTTAACTGGAGCCAAACAAATTGTCCTAACTAATTTGGCACCAAGAAGTATCAACAAGAGACTGAAATGCCAAGGGGACTGTAGGATTCACCATTTCTTGATGTCTTCAAATCAAAGCTGGAAGCCTTGTCAAAGTAAAGGATAAGTTATGAGGACCAAATGGATGAAAACTGGTGGCCTGTGATATACTGCACCATCAAATGTTCCTTTCTGGCCTTCAACTATAAATATTCAAGCCTTAATTGTGGAGTGACAGTCATCCCTCCATAATAGTCCTATTTTATTTTATCTGTCCCCAGGCCAAGTAAGATATTATTCTCTCCTTTCTTAAAAACAAATACTACAAAAATAAGTGTTTCCAAGACTTGCAAATGAGGCATCTTGTACATACAAACAGAGACCTCTTGTATAAAACACACACAGAAAACGTTATGTGATTTCTTCCACAATGGGGAATCCTCCTGTAAAATAAAGGGTTATAAAAGATCTCTCAAGTTAATCCTAAAACATCATTAGCCTCTCCCTATTTTGCACTGAAGTTTAATAAAGACAAAACTATCACCATAATTCTAGATGTTTAAGGGGACAGGAAGGTCTATAATCAACTGCAAATTCACCAAATATCGGGATATGCTGCACAGTCTGCTTTGCAAGGGAAGCATTTTCATAAGAAATTACCTTTGAGTTAAGGCATTGAACTAGGAGTCAAAAGACTAAAAGTCAAGGGCCCTGCATTGGGACTCAAGGCTGCATACTGGCACAGGGAGCTTGGGGGTTTGGGGCTTGGGAGGGGAGCTTGGAGGGGGCTTTGGGGCTTGGGAGTGGGGAACAATGTGCAAGGACTGGGGACCAGAGCTGACAGCTTGGGAGTCACAGGCCACACACCAGAGCTGGTGACTTTGAGGCTATACCTGACACAGCCACAGCAGCACTAGGAGTCACATGCCAAGTCTGCCCCTGTGCACTGGCTCTAGGGCCAGTACATGGTCTTAGACTCAGCACACCGAGTCCAAACTGGCATGTGGCTCCAAAATCGGTGTGTGAGGACCAGCTTGATCCAGTGCACTGTTGAGGAAAGATTTCCCATGGGGTCAGACATTTGGTGGTGGAAGGGAGGTTGCAGGGGACTTTGGGAGCCATGGAAATTAACTCTGCCACTGCTCTCCCCCTCTCCCCACCGAAGTCTGGATGTATGAGGAGCCTTGTCTTCACAAGTAATCTACACTCTTGATTTTCCCCAGTTGGTTTGGGGGAAAAAAACTGAAAGTAACATGCAAGAAAATATGGTACACAAAAATTTAGTTCTTAGTTTTAGAAGGACCTGCAATGACAGTCATTCAACTATGAGAAAAAAACGTAGTAAAACAATGCTAAGATTCACACTGTACAAGCTAAGCCAGTCCTGAAGGTTAGTGCCTACCAGTTGTAACCAACACTCATGGCCTCCCCCCATTATAGCAACTCTATAATTAATGCCCTTTGTTTACAACATAGGCTCAAGGGCTTCATTTTTATCTGAAACCCTTTCTTAAAGATGGTAAAAAATGAGACTTGATGGATTTTAAACAGGAGGCTACCAAGTATTAGCAAAATATGTATGGCTCTAGTCATCCCTTCTAGATATAATTCATATATAAAGCATTTCATGTCATGATTACTGGCATGAATATGAAACTGGTTGACAGAGACTGAAAGTTGTTTCCATCTGCTTGCTACTCAGTGGCCTCATTTTAGTGTGAAATGAGTTAGCAGGGTAAGTCCAGCCACACAATGACACCAACTGGCAGTCCTAGAGGGCTCAGCAAAGAAGCCAAGTACTGATAGCCGTGGAGAATTAATTACTCTTTCACCTTCTACAGATGGCCCTACAAGTCTGAGGTACATGATGAGGACAGCTTGCACTGATGTTGCTTATGCTGTACTTGTTCTATGATTAAACAGAAGACTTTGGTTTCTACTCCTGACAATCTGGTCCCTTTCACAAGGGCTGAAATTTGTTTCTAAAAATTTAGCATAGATCAGGCAAGTCAAGAAAAGAAAAACGTATTCCAATTTACTCTAATATGCCAGATTTCTCTGGAAACTGGCCAAATAACTTTTTATGCACTGAGCTCTAGGTTTCTTGCAGCTTCATAAAACACTTCAGATCTCATTTAAAAGAGTGAACAATGCCATTAAGTATCTGAAGCCAACCTGCAGCATTCCGCTATACTGGAGTCACTGAACTAAGAGATAAGTAGTACTTGCATGGCTCTCTAACTTTCAATAACAATGCCATCTTGTGGAAAATTATAGAAGTAGCACAGGCAAGCCTATCCACCCACCACCTTTTGAGCTAACCAGGAGAACAGGAGATGACAGTAAATCTTCCTAATGAGAACAAGCTCATTTATGACAAAACCAAAAATATAGACAGGGATGAATAACAGGTTATTTTTTACATGGTATCAGCCACAAGTAAAGTGGATCGAAATAGGAAGGGAATTCTCACCAGCAGGGGAGGAGGCTAGGAATACATATAGACATTTGTAGGAGTTAGGGGGAAGTTAGACTGCATTAAAAAGGACACCTGATCTAACTTAGTTTGCCCAGGTAACTTAGAGGTCTAGTAAGGGCCATCTAAGTGCAAACTGTACAGAAGTTCCAGGAAGGTTAGATTGGTTTAAAAATGGCCAATCTCATCTAAATCAATCCTACCTCTTAAGTAGTCTAAGTTAGATTTGGTTGGCCATTTGTAGACTAACCTAACTTTCCTGAACTTCTATACAGTTCACAGTGCAGCATCAGGACTGGGAAAGTACAGCTGATAGCCCTAGCCCCAGAGTTGTGCTTTTCCTCTGGCACTTAGCCCCCTAGCTACCTGTCTGCTACAGATCAGCCAATCCCTCCCCATCCTGCAAACTGCTCCTGGTACCAGATTTACCAGCATTTGCTGATGCCAAGAACCAAGAAAAGAAGTCCCAGTGGGGAGAGATGCAGGAGGGATCCCCCACACAGATGCTGTCTGCCCCCCTTATTCTTCCAACAGATCCTGCCTGCCCTCCTGAACCCCCTGTGGATCCCCAATTCCCCCTGAGCCTGCTTGCCCCCCAACCTCCCCAATACCCCTGCTAGCCCCATCCTAACTTACCTTAGATCAGGTCACTAATTTTATCTCAATCTAACCTCTCTAAATATCTGTACCCAGACTAATTGTATAATTGTAGGAAGAAGAGCTGCTAATCTGAGTCAGTAAAAAGAAGGGAGCATTCTGTTTCCATGACAAGAGGGTGAGCTTCAGCCTCTGAAATCCATTCCCCATTGTTTGTACATGGATTTGTAGCTAACTTGCAGGAGAATGAGCTAAGTATCAGCTTGCATATCCTGGATTTTTTTTATTAGGTTTATTTTGTCCCATCAACATCAATTCCAGTTCTCATGCCAACAGATGGCAGGTATCATTTTTCAATATACAGTGAAATTCTGGGTTTTCACTGCAATAGAAAAAAAAGATTACGCAGCTATGAAAAAACATACTTCAAACAATAAGTGGACAAAACACAATACCTGCAGGACAACAGATTGCTTGGACGGCCGATTCTCTCTTCTGTAATGATGCTTATATTTACATCCTGTTGATTTACTTTGGGCTCAGATCCATAAAAGATAGCTATGTGGATAGATCTTTCCACATCCCAATTGAAGTCACATATGCACATCACATTTCTGAAGAGTTCTTTTTCAGGAGCAAGTTTTAAATAATTTCTTACCTACGTAGTAAGTCAGACATTTATGAAGACAACATCCAACAAAAGTAGGCTCCAACACTAAAAAAAAAAGAAAGAAAAAGAAAAAGAAAAAGAAAAAGGTGTTTTAAGATCTTGGTACATATTAAGAATTCATTTTTTCATGCACACATGATTTAATGATGATTTAAAAATCTTACAACCAGTTCTACATGTCAGAAAGTGTTAGTGTGCAACTATACAGTGTAAAGAATTTGGTAAGAGCTGTAGAGAGGAGGTGAGTATATGTGCAATGCAAACAAGATTCATGCAGTTCCAGAATCCAAATTGGGTCTTCTTCACATCCATGGAGCATTTGCTCATCTTTACTTCAAAGTTATAAAAAAAAAAGAAATAGAAACAGCTAGCTTTTTATTCATAACTATATAACAATTTCAAAATACTGTGCTGCCCATTACTTTACTCTGAAGAGCAAAAAATCTAGAAGTAGGTTAGATGTCTGAAGAACTGTACATGCCAAACATAAAATCTCTGGTTGTTAATCCAGAGGCAGGATGCCAAAGTTTCCAAAATTACACTAGAGATTAAGGAATAGGGATTGTATTTGGCAGCATATATTATCCAAAAGAAGTAGAACCAGAATATTTCAGGCACAGATAGAAGCATACTACTATGATGTGAAATTTTAGTTTTGGTTTATGGTATTTATTAGGCCTATGCAAAGCGGCTAGTATTCACTTTGGATTCAGA